CTCTCTCTCTCTCTCTCTCTCTCTCTCTCACACACACACACACACACACACAACGTTCTCTCTCCGCACCAAGGAATTCTCTATTCCCGCCGCCTCCCCATCCAGGTACGAGCTTTTCCAACACTGTTGTCTTTGCTCTCCTGCTCACTTCTCTTCTTATCCCAACAAAGTGTACCGCCCAGACCTGCATTATCATCTTCCCTTTCTTTAACCGCAGTCCTCTGATTCCAACGATTCATGCCACCATTGTCGTCATCCTCATCATCGTCACCGTTTTGAGGTGATTCCAACAATTCCAACGATTCCAACAATTCCAACAATTCCAACAATTCCAACAATTCTTTATCGCTATCATTGTCGCTGTCCCCCGTCTTCTGATTCCAACGATTCATATCACCATTATCATCACATCATTATTATTATCCTCATCATCATTATCATGATCATTATTATCACTCCCTGAACCGTCAATATCATCCCGTCTATTCATCAGATGGGCATCATTCGCTGTCAATAGCTCACCATCACCGTTTTGAGGCCAATGGCGCTGCCCTATCACACCCACCCACCTTAGTTCACACCCATAGTTCAAGCACCGCACATCTTACTCCATAAGAAAGTCTGCGGCCATTTCTTCAGACTATTCTTAATCTGCCTGAGCTCCTGGCTTTTCCGAATAATCGTTCCTGACGACTGTTCCTTGCTGCCGCTGACTCATACATTCCTTCTTCTAGCCACCGCTTAATCATTATCTCCCTCACTGACTCAATACTACCGCCAATTTCTGACCACCACCGGCACCTCCTTTTCAAGACGCTCCCCACCAGCCGACCACTGCAGGCGAACGCCTGCTATTGGCAGGCTCCGAAGCTCCTGTCTTCTGCGTGTCCAGCCCTTGATTCCTTCCCCGATCTTGATGTTTCCTCTGTGGCTCACAAGTGTCTCATCGGCGAAGATTCCTTTCCCAGCTTCGCGACACAAGTAGCCACACTGAGGATCGTGTAGTATCCAGACCGGCCCAAAAAGGAAGGCCGCAGTCAAGCGCCCTTCCTTCTTAGCCCTGTTGTAGTGAAGCTAGCCTGTAGCAGAAGCTAGATACTCCAGCACGTTTCAAATGCAGCTCGCCTCCAGTCTTCCCTCTTCAGTTGGCAAGTGTCTCTTCTCCAGAGAATCCTCTTCCCGCTATGCGACACGTAGTAGTAAGAACGGTAAAAAAGGAGAGATGCGGCTAAGCGCCTACCCTCCTTTCCCCTGTTGTGGTGGAACTAGCCTCCAACAGGAGCTAGATACATCAGCATATTCCATAGGAAGCCCGCCGCCAATGCAGTGTCCTTCAGTTCAGAGTGTTTGAATGTGATCAAAGATTCCGCTATGTCTTGCACAGTAGGGTTTACCACGACCCGATACATCCACACCTCACCTCCGCCATTCCTGGGACAAGTCCTCGTCACGAAGAGCTCGAGTTCACGTTGAAACTCGACAGCTATGTGACACGTCTCTCCCGTGCTGAGCGCCCCGGGATATGGCATGTGAACTCCGCGGTCTACTGAGTGAAACCCTAACGCACGTGCGTCACGGGAGCAGAGCGCTACGGCACCGGCGTCCCGCTTCGTCCCTCCCCCAATTTCCTTTCGTATCCCTTGATCCTGCCATTGTCATAGTTGGGGTCCAAGACGGGCCGAGATGTACACTATATGGAATACTGGTGGACCAGCGCTGAGGATGTTTCAAATAAAGATTCCGTGTAGTAAAGGGGGCACCACGTTGAACATGTCGTAATCGAGATCCCTAAACTGTGTTGTGTTGGGCCAAGATTAAATATAGGTGCAATGATGCTCATCCCTCGGATGGGGTTTTCGTTGGGATCATGGTATGGAAATGGATGAGGACTGATGTAGGCAAAATGAGTCAATCATTGGCGGATAAACAACGGAGGAATAATGTACGCGAAATGAGTGAATGATGAGTGGGTAAACAACGGACAAGATTATATGACGACGCACATTGCGCACATAGTTCAGCGTGCTAGAGCCAATTTAGATTGGGGGTTACACACACAGGCGAGAGGGAAAAAAGCTCACCCTCCGGGATCCCGAAGTGAATGCATCCTACATTGTCCGATCTAATGGGCTAAGGTTGCTGATTGTCGTCAGATGATTGTGAGCATGCGCAGGCTTATGAGTGTGAAGCCATCTACAGGTCGATGTCGTGACAGTGGCCTTGGCAGTCAATACGGCGGCTTATAAGAGGATGTATTTTATTTGTCAGCTGTGGTTCCCACGGGATTCATCTGCGAGAAATGAAATCGAGGTAGGCTTCATCACTTCATAACCTGATTGCTTAAATCCCAAGTTTCACATCGTGAAGGAAGGAAAGGACCCTGTTTGGTAGGGATGTTTTTTTTTCACTGTGGAATGGCTGCATGCAAGGAAATGAAGTAAGGAATTGTGTCCTTCCTGCCGCCCCCCCCCCCCCCCCCTCCTCCACGTGCACATGATGAGCTGTTCCCTCCAGTACTCTGGTACGTCATTCTGGGTTCATCTCACCATTCATTCATGACCTGCCCCTTATTTCCCTCATCACACTATCCCATGCTCACGCCTACGTTAGGCTCAGATCGAACTTTGGCCATTGAGATATTGGTTAACGCCCAGCCAACCGCACGTGTATCTTTCTCTCCCCACGTCATCCCGTGGTCACCCGTACCCCAACTCGCCACAGCCGGAGATCTGCTCAGATCGGACCTTGGCCATTGAGATATTGGTTAACACCCAGCCGACCGCACGTGTATCATTCTCTACCCACGTGATCCCGTGGTCACCCGTACACAACTCGCCACAGCCGGCGATCGGAGGTTGCCTCTTTAGATATTGCTAAACCCCCAGTTGGCTTTATGTGCATGTTTCTCTCTCCATCCGATACGTCCTCACCCCGACGCAAACTCAGCCCAGGGTCAAATCCGAGTTTGGGTGTTCAATTATTGGTTAAGCCCCAGCGACCCGCATGTGTATGTCTCTCTGCTCACCCTATTTCGCCCCGACCCATACGCCGACTCCTGGCAGCATCAGATCAGAGTTTTGCTCTTTAGATATTGGAGATGAAATCTGAGCTTGAGTGTTCAATTATCGGTTAACCCCCAGCAGGCCGGACATGCATGTCTCTCTCCCCACCCCATTTTGGCCTGACCCCTACCGTGACTCTCGCCATCCTCAGATCGCACCGTCGCTCTTTAGATATTGGATAACGCCCAGGGGGGCGCAACTGTATGTGCTACTCTTCTGCCCTGCATCGAAGAGATCGTTGTGTGAATAAGAGTTCACTCACGTGGGCTTTCTTCATTGTAGTTCCGTGCACGAGATGAGCAGGGCTCTTTTTCGTTAGTTACGCGTTTTGATGCCAGCTTTTCTAGCTCATGCAGTAATGAGACCATCAGCAAGGTGTCCGTGCAAGAGTAGACTTTTGCTTTTGGTGTTATGCTATTCTGTGACGAGTACGCTCCGGCTTCAATCCTTCGGTTGTCACTCTCTTTCTGAGAGCTGGGAAGCACGCACTTTCTGAAGGGAGCGAGTGGATTCGCTCTTGCTAAGCTGTCAGTTCATTCACGAAAGCCCTTTTGGAGGTGGTTGGCTTACTGTGTGCAAGCTCGGCATGAGATCGCTGCATCGTTTTTGTTGATCAGAGGAGATCGATTGATGGAAGGAGTTCGTGCCTCGGGCAAGTTACCCTCTTTGAGTACGTGTAAGCTGTGAGTACGATCGCTGCTCCTCCATCGATGTGAAGAGGGTGACCATCCCAAGGGTGATTATTTTACGGTCATTCATGTCATCCTGTGGCTCGGCTGCTGTCTTATGATCATTCATCAGGCGTACATGTCAGCTGTGTGGGTCCTTTCCTACAATAGTCGTGAGGGTAGCAAGCCAATTTACATTATCTTCATTGAGCTCATCAAGTGCTCATTTCGGCCTGTTCCGCTATTTGTTCAAGGCTCAGATTTGCAATTCTGAACCGAGATCTTGGCGGTAGATTTCAGGTGGTTTGGCATCGCGAAGCGTGCTTTGCTGTGCAGTGAATATACGTGGAATTTTTCCCTTTGGAGGCTTCAGATACTGTATTTCAAGCTGTTGAGGTTGATCGTCTCTGGCCAGGAAAATCCCGTTGGCGTCTTCAAGGTTTGAGGTTCGGCTGCACGACCGGTATGGTCCCTGCTTCATGACCTCCGTATTCTCTGGTGGCCGTTCCCTCCTTACTGTTCTGTGTGCGTATCCCGTTGTCCTTTCCCTCTGAATGGGCTCCTGGTTGCATGTGAAGTTGGTCACTTTTGTTTTCATATCATGTGTGATTGCATGTGCGCACGAGCAAACAGATCTACTATGTCGTCTGCGTACTGCAGTTCATCCTTATGTTATTCAATCAGATACACGTTGTGGCATGATCATTGGTTCCTTTTATTCGACAGTTAAATCGGCATTCACTATCCAGGTGCCTAGTGTATGTGCTGCTTTTGAAATCCGGTTGTAACTTTCTGATGAGAGTCACCCCTGTCAGGGTGTTTGATCAGCGGCTTTCCTTGCATAATTTGTTTCGGTTTGTGCTGCGCTGTCTAAACTCGATCACCATTCTCGATTTCACGTTTGCCTGTAATGTCCAATTTTGTCTTTTGAGTTAGCTTGGAAGTATTATGTGGACGTTTCCACTGGGTATTGGCATGTGCAGTCCGAGTGCTTTTATAAGTATGATCACTACCCTTGATCAGTGTTTCGAACAGCTAACTTTCTATACACATTGGGTTCAATCAGCCTCCTCTACGCCGATTGGAGTCGAGCTATGCCGCGTGAAATTGATGGCAATTTCCGATTACCTCTTGCCCTGTACTGTGCACATTTGTGTTTCGCATTGCGTTAAAAATATTATGTTGATGTTCTCGACTATCAGCTCCGCCATGTTGGATCACTTTCTGTGCATGTTTATAACGTATGACTTTGCCGTCAGACCAGCCTCGATTGCGGTGGATTATCAGCACCTCCGTCTGAACTTGATGGGCATTTTCGAGTTCCTCTTCGTCTGTAGACTCTGTACTGTTCATTTTTTTATTGCACTCGGAGACATTATCTCGATGTTCTTGATTCGTTATTGAGCTCTACACTGCAACTGTTATTGTTAGTTCCTCTGCTATGTTATATCGGGGTTTCGAACGTGTAACTTTATGTACAGGTTGCAGGGTGTGAAGTTCATCGCCATTATCGATTGCCTCTTTGTCTGTACTATGCAAGTTTCTTTTTTTTATTGCGCTTGGAAATCTTATCTCAAGGTATTGGGTTGGCTATTCGGCTGTACACTGCAAGTGTCTTTGTAAGTTCCTCTCCTATGCTTCATCGGGCTTTGAAACATATAACGTTCTGTACACGTTGCCCTTAATCAGACCCTTCCACGACCAATTGCAGAGGATTATGTGGTCCTGCCTGTGTCCTTCATTGGGATTTTCGGTTGGCTGCTGCCCTGTATGTGCAAGTCTTTTCTTGATTGGCTTTAACAACATTACGCGCTAGTGCTGGATTGCCTATTAGGCTATTCCCCTGTGGTGTGCAAGTATTTTTTGTCAGCTGAAAACACACTTTTTCATTGGGCTTTAAAACGCATATTTCTTTGCAGACTGGGGTCAATCAGGCGGTTCGATGGTTTTGTCTTCAATCGAAGGCAAGCATACACAAAGCACAGTTCGTAAAAATCATATAATCATAACCACCATCATCCACATTAGAGTAGCTGGGAAGCAAGTAAAGAGAGGCAGACCAGGAGTATGGAAGAATAGATAGAGAGAGATGGAAATGACACATCAAGTCTCCCGAACGCGACCCTGACGGGTTATCTCAAAAATAGAGTGAACAACAACCCATCATGGCTGACATCTTGCAATGATCACAGAAACTACCGACGAGTATGGTCAGTATTCTGCGTAGTGAAAGTCTCGTCGGCCCAGCGCGACCCTACGCCGCGTTTCGGCTGGTCGCCAGCCATCCTCATCAGGGGTCAAATGTCGCGAATTGGAGGACTCGAATAGTCCAAAGTTCATCCTTAAGTAGTCCTATACTCGCGAAAAGAAACGTAGAAGTCTACCCTTGTTCGAGAGAATACCAGTCCAAACCCCGTAACGTACTTACTAGCAGCTTCCCCCCCCAAAAAAAAACTAACAAAATCGGGCCTCATTCCTGCTCCAATTCACGCTTCCCAAAAACCACATCCATCGAATTAGACCTGAAGAACGATCCGATACGCTCGGCCAAGGCGGGTCCTGCAGGTCCAGAACAAGCGATAAAGGTAGGCCACCAGAGTTCAAGTCCCCGAGACCAGACAAGTAAAAAAGAAGAAGAAATAGCGTCAGCGTGAGGTGAATAGGGGACACAGGCAGTAGGAATCCAGAGGGGTCTCTGTAGGTCGCGAGAGTTCGAGTCCCAGAAGCCAGACGAATAAGACGAGGAAATAGCACAGTCTAGAGTGAGTGGAGGATATCAACAGATTTCAGAGTTCTCCAGAGAATAGCATGAATTAGGCAGAGGTAGGGACCAGTGGCATGTTCAGCTAGACAGGGACAAAGCCTATTAGAACCCATGTTTAATCTTCAGGACCGGCAGCACAAGGATCCAAAGCATATCCAGTACCCATGTTTAATCCTTAAACCGAAAAAAAAGACTCAAAAGGCTAAAGAACGATTAAAAAACGACCAGAAGCTAGCCACCTTCTCTCTCCTCGAGCAGCCCCCCTCCCCCGCCAGCGCTCCCCTCCACTCCCCTCTGCCAGCACTCCCCTCCAGCGCTGCCCTCCACTCCCCTCCTCGCTTCCGCCAGCGCTCCCCTCCACTCCCCTCCTCCCCTTCCCCAGCGCTACCCTCCACTCCCCTCCTCCCTTCTGCCAGTGCTCGCCAGCGCACCTCTCCACTCCCCTCCGCCCGCTCCCCTCCACCTGTGTTCCTTGCGCTCCCCTTCGCCAGCGCTCTGCTTCGCTCCCCTTAACCAGCGCACCCCCCGCCAGCGCTCTCCTCCGTCAGCGCACCCCCCGCCAGCGCTCTCCTCCGCCAGTGCTCCCCTCAACCAGCACGCCCCCCGCCAGCGCTCCTCTCCACTCCCCTCCGGCTGCTCCCCTCCGCCTGCGCTCCCACCCTTCTGCCGCTGCTCTTCCACCTATGGGCTGCTCCTCCGGCCCTTCCCCCTCCTCCGCAGCTCTCCGCCCCCCAGCTGCTCCATCTCCACCTATCACCCGCCCCTCCACCCCCTCCTCCACCGCTCTTCGCACCAGTGATCCCCTCCACTCCCCTTCGCTAGCGCACGCCTTCGCCAGCGCTCCCCTGCGCCTGCACAGCTTTCCACTCCCCTCCGCCAGCAGTCCTGTGCGCCTGCGCTACTCCCCTCCGCCAGCGCTCCCTCCACCCCGTCTGCCACTGCTTCCCCACCAGCGCACCTTTGCCTGCGCTCCCCTGCAGTCCTCTCCGCCAGCGGCTGCCCCTCCACTTTCCCGCCTCCGCTAGAAAAAAGAAAACATGTTAGGCGCACACTGAGAGAGAGAGAGAGAGAG